AATTGCCACTTGTTATAGACCAATTAAATTGATATAACATTTGATGTTTATGATCATAAAAATTTCACACATAAAGCTCTTTTAAATAGAAATTTCTCCATTTTGAAAAGGATTTGATATCTAAAATTCTACTTCAAGAGGTCTCTAAAGCAATGTATATATATCAGGGTATATCCATTTGAAAATCCTCAATAGAGCACTTAATATGATTTTCTATTCTATATACATAGCTATTCTTAAAAGAGAAATAAATAACCTGAGAGTCCACTTGTTAGAAAGATAGTTTCAACTTGAGCTTTGAGATATTTCACAACTACCTCTTCACTAGAACATCTAGATCATAAACTATTGCAAAAGTAGGAAGTTAAGCAAACAAAAGGAATTGTGCTTGTTAAGCTTATGAGCAAGACAATTCCATGTTTATAGTCCCTTTTTGTCCATACTCCCTCAATATGCAGCCAAAATTTAGGAATGTAATGATGGTGAAATTACTTGTTTAGATATTGAAATCTTGTATGACTTTTATCAAAATATGGTTCAGAAGTTATTCTAAATTAAGTTAATTTAAAGTTTAGACAAATGAACATTCTTAAGATCAATATCAAAGAGAAAAGAAAGATTCATATAGAGGAAGAGAATAGCTAAAAGAATGTTTAGATGGTTCAAAAACCTTATTGCTAACAAAGTTACCATATCTATTGCAAAAAAGATACCTTATAGCAATCATCACCTTTTAACACTAGCCATGGAGAAGAAAATGGTAGCTTCTCCCAAATTAGCTACCATAAAGGCTTCTTCTTTCCTTGTGAGTGCACTAAAGCAACTATCACTTGTAAGCTCCCTACCCTGAAGGGGATAATTTAAAATTGAGATGCCCAGCATAAGTCAATGCAAGTCAACATAGTCAATTATAAGTCTTTAAAAGGAAATTTAAGTTGAAAAAATGAAGCTTTTAAAAATAATTAGTATACATTGAGTCACATAGAAGTTCATGAAAATGTGTCATTTTTAAAATTATATTATTTTACAATTCATTAAAAGAGCTTAAATATGAATCAACAAAAACAAGCTGAAATATTTTAACAACTAGTGTATGTTAGTTAAATAAATATATATTTATATATTATTCCTTTATTTGAAAGAGTTCTCTAGAGTTCTTGAGAAGATGGAATTCTTTCAAATGAAGAGATAGTAAGAAAAAAAGAAAAAAAAAACAATAGTACAAAGAAATGTGAAAATATAAATTTTATTTCATTACTACAATCTATTTTTTGTATCTTTTTTATAAATACACAAAAATCTAGAATTCTAAAAGCTCTTTTCTTTAAAAGTAGGCTAAAATTATAAAATCCCATATCAAATATTAACAATTAAAAAATTATGTATTATCAGTGTTATAATAATTTTCTGTGCATTGCATATAGTAACACTTGGTTTGCTTACTAATATGTTATTCCTATTTATTATTCCAACTAATCAAAAAACATGTTTGTTATTTATAAACACAAGATTAATCTTATTAAATATCAACCATTAGATGGTAAAATAAACTAGAATATACTAGGAAGTACTTAGGAAAGTTTATAAAATAAAAACATATTTATAAATTATAAATACAAGATTAATCTCAATGAATAACAACTGTTGGATAGTAGAATATCCAAGCATATTCTCCACTTCCTCAAACCAATAAATAAACTATATTCTTAAAACTAAAATTTAATATATAAATTGCTAAGAAAAGTTATAGTTGTTAGTTGTTATAATATTTTTGTTGCCCTTAAGCTCCTTGAAAATTTGAAAAGTTTAGTAGAAGAACGGCTTAAAAATAAATCACTACTATTTATATTTACACCCCACCCCCACCCCCTAACATCTTATATCAATCTCTATCTCCGTCTCTAAATTTTATCAAATATTTTACCTTCACCTCAATATAACAATCCTGTCTTTACTAGGGACATTAGTGAAGTCGAATTAAAACTCTCCATATATGAATTTTTTTACATTGTTATTAGAGTAAGTGGAGTCCCACATGTTTTTCCAAGATCTTACTCTTGATATAATGGGATTATTTGAAAGTACATAATGCTATTATATTCAATGTTTAATATGGTTTTTTCTTTAGCAAGATAAGTGTCTCCATGGGTCTATAAACTTTCTTTGAGCATTGTAACAACTGCCCAACAATAAATTTCAAAAATATACACATATGGATGTATAATAGACATATAGCCACTATCACTTTATAGTGAGGAACAACATCCTTTTACAAAACATTGTATTAATTAATGTTAAATACAGGATTTTTATGTCATTATATAGTGGAATGTAAAATCTAGAACTGTTTTATTATTCTATAATATTATCCTTTAAGGAAATGAAAATATATATATATAATAAAATGATATTAGTTGTAGATAGCATAACTAAACAACCCCAATTGGATGTATAAACTTATAACATGTATAACAAAAGTTAGTTTTAAGTTATTTTGTGTATCATGGATTCTGTTTGAAAATATAATATGTTTTATGAAATTTCAAAACTTTTTTTTCTAGGTTATGATATGAACTTACTCCTGCAAAAACACATATGATAGGCTTTGTGTGAGGTATATATTTCCTTTTGATATGATAGTTCTATTAACATTATGCCCAACATTGTAGATAAGTAAATCCATAACACATTTCTTGGGTATTGATTTTAAACTCCACTGCTGATGCAAGTATTGCTTGAGGCTTTTTATAAGCATTTAAATTTTCTATTCTATTTTAATCATTCAACTATATTTTTTACCATTTAGAGGAATTTCACAACTTTAATCTCAACATGTTCTGTGATTCCTTTAGCTAACTAATAAATTCAAATCTGAAACTTTTCTAATACCAAATATAAATTTTTGAATTTAAACTTCTACTTTAGCCACTGTAATATGGCTCACCTTTTAAGAATTTTCCTTTCACAAGCCTACTGATACAATAAAAGGTAGAGACTTTCCACCAAATCTAAAACTTACTCATCTTTATCTCCATTATCACTACAATTGCATAGTTGCCTTTTGGTCTAGTGTAGGTGGTTTCCTTCCTAAAGAGCTTTAACTCCAAAGTGCAATATATCTTCCATACCTTTAGAACTTTCACAAATATTGTCCAAGTACATTTTCCATCCTTTCACCCCTTGCAATAAGAGTGCAAATTAGTGCCTCAAGCATATTGAAGATACCAACACTTGCAATCAAACAGCAAAGGTGGTAAGTGTACATACATGATAAAATGACCAAGTCGAGTACAGAAGATGCCATAAAACTACTCAATCTCCAAGTTGTGATAATTGGCCAAAAAACTATGAGTGATTCCTTCACAAGCAAGAGCTGGAGTTGTAATGCTGCCCAATCACCTGCCTGGCGTGATTTGCCCCACATTATCAGCCACCCCCTACGAGGATATCACCATGCCGACTCCCACCTTGAAGCGGGCACACTCATAGAAAGTACGATCTTGCCGCCCTTAAAAGCATGAGCTTGGGCAGTGTACCTGGGCTTTCCTTGTTCAAAGCAGAGCAGGCTAGAATCTCTTGTTTCAAAAATTTCCTCTCTTTACAAGAGATGCTAGCCTGCTCTGCTTTGAACAAGCCCAGGTAAACAAAGAAGCTACAGTCATGAAACAAAGAAAGGGAAATGTTGTTTTGTTCCTGTCTAATTCTTTCTTGTAAAGTCAATCAGGCTACTGATCTGCAATCTGCAGCAAGCACCGAGCAAGCAGCTCTCTGCTGGCAGAAAACCTCAGAGAGTTGCAAAGAGATTTGAGTGGTCACATTAAGAGAATTTCACCCAAAAAGAATTAGATTACGGTTCACCAGCTCCTCCCTTGTGTTGGCTACACAATCAATGGATTCCCTCTTCAAACAAATATAAGAAATCTTTCGATACCTCCTCACCTCTGGATTTGTCTTGGCTATCTTTGCGTCTTTCTCCTGGCATGATGAATTGGCCGAATGTATGCCAAACCTAGGCGAAAGATCTCAATCAGCAATTAGGATGTATTTACACGACTTGTAGTTGTCAACATTGATCGGTGCCACCTTTGCTTGGATCATCTCGGATCAAATATGCTCTTACCGCAACACTGCTAGGATAATCTAAGATTGGTCTAATCCTTTCACCAGTAAGAGTTGGACTGATAATGTGGGGCAAATTTCAGGCGGGCGACCGAGCACCACTACAGCTCACATCATCACCCCTGCTCCCACCTTGTGCTCTCAACAAAAACAATTTCGCACCTCTAAAATATTGAAGAGAAATGCGCAAAAGTCTTCTTTGTAGGAACCAAACAAACTTCAATAACTCCGTCAGTTTTTCTGACCGTATTCATGATCATGTCCTCTACTGTTTCACTCATCTCCATTCATGTTCATGTGAAGTCTAGCTCAATCCTGGCCATTCCATATCAATGTCATGCTGTACCAGGAAGGCAGACCATACGCCATGGCTGTGAAAATCATCCTCAAAACGAAAACGGCAGTCGAAACAAGAGTCTAATTAAGCCTTAGAGAAAGGGGAATGTTGTCTTTCTTTCTTTCTTGTTATACAATCGCACTACTGATCTGCAATCTGCCGCAAGAACCGAGCAAGCAGCTCTCAGCTGGCCGGAAACCTCACAGAATCGCAAAGAGGAGTGCTCGCGTTATAGTTCTCTCAAAATAAACAGCAAAAGTGCACAAGATGAAGATGACTGTTTCTCGTACGTAATTACGAGGAGAAAGAAAGAAAAGAAAAAAGAGTACTCTTGGAATATTAATCAGGAAGCACAAGTGAACAAGGCGGCGATTGCCGGTGTACACCTGGAAATAGGCTGGGCCACATTGCCGGGTACACCTGGAAATAAGGAGTTGAATGGGTGTAGCTTACCAGCAATATAACCTGATCTACCGCAATCAACCACTAGCCACAGCAGGCTAGCAATTAGTAAGAAATACATGCTCCTCATCTCAACCACACCTTGGGTGAATTGTTCAATGTTTTATATAGAAGCCGAGTCATAGAGAAAGCTGTTGCCGTTTTAGTATATCCAGAGAATCTTTTGGCTTGATGCCAAAATGAATATGCCAGCCATACAAAGTGTGCACCATACTAGAGTTTTGCTAGCTTTTGTTTATGTTCTCGAGAGCTTTTGCCTCTCTAAGAACTTCCAGCGCTTCCTGCTGCCTTCCAGCTCGCTTGAGCTCCACAGCACGGACTTTTAGCTTTCGCACTCGATCTTGCAGCTCTTGCGATGGCGAGGAGCTGCTTTGCTTCTGTTGCTGCTGTTGCTGCTGAGGAGATCGAGAGGACGGCAGCTTCATCTCCTCATCCTGCCAGCCAAGACCTGAGAGAGCTGCCAGAAGCTGTGGATCCAAAAGATCTTCCACTCCGTCCATAGCGCTCGCTTGCAAACCCGGAACTCGAGATGGAGGGTCCATCTCTTCCAGCTGCTTCTCCAGAGCCTTTGCTTTCTCAAACTCGGCCTCGGCCTCGTCCATCTTGCCTTCTTTCCTCAGTGCCAAGGCTCTTCTTTTGTGAGCAAGAGATTCTTGCTGTATCTTCATCCTGTCCTTCGAGCGAGGTGCCTGACCTGTGGCTGGAGGAGAGATCCGGCTGCTATCTTTCGGTGGTGCTGCTCCACTTGGACGTGGAACTGGAACCTCCTCCACAGCCACTGCTTGCCTGTGGTTCTCCAAAAGTTTGGCTTGTCGGAGCTCCTCCTTGGCAGCAGCTACATTTCCAGATCTCTTGAACTGTAAAGCTCGTCTTTTGTGCTCCAGAATCTCCTGCTCGATGCTCGATGAAGGCACGTTCAAGTTCAAGTTCGTGCTTGGCACTGGAGGCTGTACTGCTGCTAGAACTGCCGGGGGCTCTATAGTCTTCTTCTCGGGAACTGATGGTACGAATATATCGCCAGTGAGGAGGTCTTGGTGTTGGTTCACGGGAGCGACTGGCGGTGTGTGTGTAGCTCTCGAGAATAACGGAGGAACAATGTCTACCAGAAGGCCGATTTCTCCGTATTCGCCTTCGAAAGAACTCTCTCTCCGTGTTGCTTCTTCTTTCTTATCGTTCGCTTTTGTAGATACGTCCTCTTTGAATCCCATCTCGCTCAGAGCGGCCAGCATAGCAGGATCATTCATGTCCTCGTCGGTTACCTCGGCCTGCTCGGTGTTATCCTCGTCAACTTCTTCGTTCTCATGAACATGAACTGGAGGTCTCTCCGCATCTTCCAGAGCCTTGAGTTGTGCCTCTAGAACGCTGGCGTCCTTGAGTTCCTTCTCAGCCTCGTCCTCCTTCCCTTCACGCCTCAGAGCCAACGCCTTCCTCTTTCTACCAAGGAGTTCCTTCTGAATCTCACGCTTGCTTCTTTGCGGTAGTTCTTGCATGGAAGGTATAGCTCTCGGTTTCGGCCGTCTTTGAGGTGTTTCTACAGCTTCTGCGTGCGACGGTGGAAGTTCTCCAACCTCGCCATCCAGGTTCATCCCTTTCAAAGCAGCAGCAAGTTCTGGATCGGACTTTAAGCTTTGGATGGTGAGTGCCTCGCCAGTATCGTCAACGTCGTCGATAATGTAGGATGTTGTCGCTGGGATTTTCATCGGTTTCAAGGCGGCCTGATCCGTCCGGTGTTTTGCTTGTTCTCGCGACTGCATTGCAGCTGCTGACCACTTAACAGCACTCACTTCTTCCTCCAGAGCGCGCTTTTCCTTCTTCATATCCGGCTCGCTGAATCCCAACGCTTGCAGCGCTGCTAGCATCTCTGGATCTTGCATATCTTGATAGCTGACCTCGACGTGCTCATCATCCTCCGTCATAGCTTCGGGCTTTGGAACTTGTGACGCCTCCAGCATCTGCTCCAAGGTCTTTGCTTGCTTCAGCTCGTCCCGAGCCTCCGCCATCCTTCCAGCACGTTTGAGAGCCAAGGCCTCGCGTTTGTGACGTAGAATTTCGGCCTGGAGCTCCTGCTTATTGATGCGGTCAGTCCTCGGAGCGCTGAAACTTTCCAGGACTCCGGCTTCCTCAGCCCAGCCCATGGCCCTTAACGCCGCGATCATATCTGGATCGGACATGTCCGTATCGCTTACGTGAACTTGTGCCTCGTCTTCCTCGGTGACGACTGGAAGACTAGCAGCAGAAAGTGGAACTTCCTTCCCAGAGCCTTTGTGCTTCGTATCCACTTCTTTCTCCAAGGCTTTCAAAACCGCGCTAACTTCGTCCCCGCCGTCCTCCTCTTCATCTAATACATCTTCACCTAGAGTTTGGATGTCTTCCAGCCGTCTCTCCAGAACTTTGGCCTTCTTGAGCTCCTCCTTCGCTTCTGCCATCTTTCCTTCCCGTTTGAGAGCTAATGCTTTTCTTTTGAGACCAAGAATTTCCATCTGTAGTGTTCCAGCTGCGGTGCCTGAAGTAGGCTCGCCTTCGCTCAGTATGTCTGCGTCAGAGGCCTTTTTCCTATCCAGGTCCTCCGACCAGCCAAGATCTCTGAGCTCCTTCATAAGATCTTCGTCACCTGTGCTTCTTCTCGACGGCCTTTCGGAAGACATACCAACAGTCTTTCCAAAGTTCTCGGACTTCGTTGTCTGCAAAGTATTCTCTTCAGTGGCACTGCTAGCCTTTGAAGCCTTTTTAACGTTTCTACGAAGAAACAATGCTAACGCATCAGCCTGCCGTTCGAGTTCTTTGGCACGCCTGAAGGCCTTGGTTGCATCTTCGGCCTTCCCTTCCTTTTTCAAGGCAGAATATGTAGCTCTCGCCTCCTGCGCCTGCTGTCGCAAAGTTTCCGGCGAGACTGGTTCCGAGGTAGCAGGTTCCGATTCTTTGTTTACGAGAAGAGACTTTAGTAAGTCCTCTTCATCGCTGGTTTCCTCTACTGCTTAGAAGCAAAAAGTTTAGTTCTCGTCAGGAAGAACACGATGTTTGCCCACCTTTCTTTTTGCGTCCCTGGCGAGCTTCGAAGCGAGCGGCTTCTTCTAGCTTCTTGCAAGGCTCACAAATGCGCACTGGAGCGTCTCCTTGGCCGCGGAGATACATTCTGGATTGGACACAGTTGCCACAGAAAAGGCCTCCACATCTCCGACAATGGTGCTGTGAAAAAAGAGATGAGAAGATCATCGCAAATACCACCAAGAACCAAAGGAAAACAGTCGCCACGAAAAAAAATGCAAGGCATGCAAACCACAGGAGCAAAAGATCGCGATCGCTGGAATTCTAGCTCAGAGCTCGCAATGCTACACTAAGAAAGAAAAACTCGCGACTGATGCTAGAAGCCACAATGCGATGAGAAATAGTCGTCAAACTCTAGATCCATACCTTGCGATTGAAGATCGAGAAAGGCGAGGCGCAGTTCTGGCAGTGCGACGCATCCACCACCCAGGTCCGGCCACGCGCAGACGGCCTGGGCGGAAGTCCAATCTTCTCCAGCATCCTCAATCAAACCCTCTGTTCTAGGGCTTGACGATTTCTCCCCCAAAATATTTCCACTTCTCCTTGGGATGAAGAGAAGATCTGGCAGCGGCGGCGATAGAGCACCTCGCTCGCCTCATCCGATCCTGCGGGAATGCCAGAGATCTCCGCCAAGCTCAACGCCTGAATTGCGCGATCCATGGGCGCGGGATCGATCGCCGACACGGTTCTTACCTATCCAATCTCCTCGTCGAGATGTATGGCAAATGCGGCAGCGTGGCCGATTCATTCGCCGTGTTCCAGCGCGCCAGAGGTCGAAACCTCTACTCGTGGAACATGATGCTCCAGGCATTTGCCCTAAATGGGGATCTGTCCAGAGCCAAGAATCTCTTCGATAGAATGCCGCAAAAAGACGTGGTTTCATGGACGGCTATCATGGCAGCTTTTGCCGCTAATGGTCGTTTAAACGAGGCCAGTTTGCTGTTCGATTCTCTGCCCTGCCCTAATCTTGTGTCGAGGAATGTAATGCTTGCAGCATATGCCAGGGCTGGGCATTTGGAGTCCGCGTGGAAAGCTTTCAACGCCATGGGTGAGAGAAGCGTTGCTTCTTGGACGTCGATGATCCAGCCACTGGCGGAATTAGGGAAAGTAGAGGTGGCCCAGCAGATTTACGATCGGATGCCAATGTGGAATGTAATCACGTCGACTTCGATTTTAGCTGCATATACCCAAAGCGGGAATTTTGACATGGCCTTGGAGGCCTTTGATTCCATGCCGGAGATCAATGTGGTAACGTGTACGGTCATGATCAGCTGCTACGCGGCATGTTTCCAGATTGAAGAGGCTCTCAAAGTTTTCGACTCGATGCTGGAGAGAAACGTTGTGGCATGGACCGAAATGGTGCACGCATATGCGGATCTTGGGCATCTTGAAGAGGCAAAACTTCTTTTCTACAAGATGCCTTGTTGGACTCTTGTCCCTTGGAACGTGATGCTTTTGGCATATGCCGTGGCCGGGCATCTGGAGGACGCCAAGCTCATGTTTGAGACGAGCCCCTCACGCAGCGTTTTCTCCTGGACGGCCATGATCCAGGCATATTCCTGCCGTGGAGACTTTGCACAGGCGGAGGATATTCTCCTTTGCAAGATCCCAATGATGGACGTCGTGGCCGCGAACACAATGCTCGCGACGTACACGCTCGCTGGGTGTACGGACAAGGCCGAGAGGCTCTTTGAGACAATGCCTGTGCGAGATGAGGTGACTTCGGATACAATGCTGGTGGGATATTCCCAGAATGGTGAGCTGCTCAAGGCATTGTATTTCTTCAAGGAAATGAGACATCGAACCGCGTCTTCGTGGAGCATCGTGGTTTTGGAGTGCTGTAGAAATTTGGGGCTCGAGGAAGCCAAAGTTTTGTTTCAAAATATGCCTCTTGTGAGCTCGAGCTCCTGTGCTGCGCTCGTGGAGCTCTACACGCTGAGTGGTCTCTTAATGGAAGCGAGGCAGCTCATTGAAAGAATGCTCCAAGTTGATATCACATCGTGGAACATGTTGCTCGCGGGGTACTCGCTGAACGGCTACTGCGACGATGCCAAGAGAACTTTCGATGGGATCTCCAGCCGGAACGAGGTAACCTGGAACTCCATGGTCGGAGCTTACGTCCAGAACGGGCAGCTGAGTAGAGCCATCGAAATGCTTGAGAGAATGCCGCAGCTTGCTCTGGTTACCTGGAACACACTCCTGGGAGCTCTCCTCCAGAACGGCCGCGCTCGAGAATCCATCCATCTCTTCCACCAAATGCTGCTCGAAGCAGTGACCCCAAATGCGGTGGCTTTCGTAAGCGTTCTTGCTGCTTGCAGCCATGCAGGACTTGTAAGTTCCAGCTGCCACTACTTCACGGCGATGCTCTCCGACTACGAGCTAGCACCTGTTGCGGAACACTTTTCCTGCGTGATCGATCTTCTGGGACGTGTTGGAAGGCTAGAAGATGCGGAGGTGTTGATTAATTTTTCGCCTTTCCCTCCAAGCATCGTGGTGTGGGGAGCACTGCTTGGATCTTGTAAGATTCACTCTGACTTTGAAAGAGGTGTACGTGTTGCTAAAAGTATTCTGGAGCTGGATCCCACGCACGATGGATCCTTGGTCTTTCTAAGCACTGTAATTACGTAAACCCACAAAATCTTATAAGAATAAATTCTTTGATCGACCCACATTCACTGGCCACAACCACCTGCCACCAGCCACTGGCCACGGCAGCAGCCATAGCCATGCCACTGGAGTGAGTGGCCTTGCTCCATGGAGACTATCAAAATCTTGGAGCTGATGTAAATGTAGCACCATTACCCACAGCCACAGCCAAGGCTAGTTTTAGTATTGTCTAAGGAAAGCAGGCCCATATATATATGTGAAATGTTCAGGACGTGCATGCAATGCAATTTAGTTCGTTTAAGAAGATATATATATTTTAACAAATTCCAATCTTCTTTCTCGTTTGTGTTCCGTAGCCTTGACGTTTCCACTTGCACAAGGACATCTACCACCACGCTCAGTTTTGATATAGATGTCATATAGTTCACCACACGTTCTACCATTCTTTAAATTTTCTCAGTTATTTACGTACCAAGTATGCAAGCAGAGATGGCTACTTGAAGAGTGATCCTGAAAGCGGTGTTGGAACTGTAACAATGCCAAATCCTTACTTTATGATGATGAATTACATAGTTTCACCAAGGCTATAAATTATAAGGTGCATGTTCTCCTCCCCACATTGCCTCAGTTCTCTTCTGGTTTTGCTTTTGTTCTGCCAAAATGTGTCAGAAGAGAACTGAGGCAGTGTGGAATCTCTCTTGCCAGGACCTGGGCCAGCTCCACTTTCCCTAATTCCAACGCTTCTCTCACCCATCGCGTTGAAAGCTTTCCACGCGGACTCCAAATGCCCGGCAGAGACAATCTCGCGTTTAAACGACCATTAACGCCAAAAGCTGCCATGATAGCCGTTTGCGGCATTCTATGGAACAGATTCTTGGCACTGGACAGATCCCCATCGCATGGGGCATCATGTTCCACGAGTAGAGGTTTCTCTCCTCTTGCGGCATCTTTGGTGAAGCATTTGGATTCCAGGCATGGGAAGGTCCTGGAGTCGTGGCTGCAAGCTGAGCCAGGAACGATACGCGGGGATCTTGCTGTTGCTGTTGGAAGGTAAGGTTCTGGTTTCTAAAGCTCTCCCTCGGGAATGAACTTTTCTTGCTCGGTTATGCCAGGAATGTCATCCATGGCAGTGACAGTGTTGCGAATGGAGAGTGGGAAATTGGTATGACTTTCTTTTTTCCAGCTTGCAAGAGTTTCTCAAGACAATGTTTATGTCTTATACAGGTCTTTCGTTTGGAGAGTCCGAGTTGTGTAAATGGCAGCCCGAGTTGACGCCCTGGCTACTCGAATAGAAAGAGTCTTGGCCATTTCTTAGGTGGAGGCACATTGAGTTCTTAAAATGCCAGGACAAATTGTCCTCTTAGATTAAACCGTTACTAATCCTGATTTCTCGGTACAGGATGTTGGATTCGTAGTTAAGAATAGATACTCTTTTGTGTCTGTTCGTTGTCGAATCTTGCCAGAATCTTGACATCTTGATTCCACTGGCAAGACAATTCAAAACGAATGATCGCACTGAACGTTAGCCTTTAGTTGATGAAGCCCATGCTAAACGTATTTAACACCAGTTCACAGCTCCAGTGATCGCTAACTCTAACAGTAGAAAAGAACTGTAAGCTTGGACTTTCGTGAGTGGCTGCAAGGCCAGGATCTAGAAGATAACATATTTTAACATCATAATACCAATAGTACAGGAATAAGATCTAATAGCTAGTGATGCATCAGTGGAAGGCTTCCCTGATTTTCATCGGAGCCTGGACTGTCACTGATGAAGCCTGTCACGCGCCCGGACCACTTTTGAGCTGAAATTGAGTTCAACTAAGAGGGATTCTGAGGAAGTCCGTAGGTCTGTTGAATCCGTTTTCGTTCATATGACTTTATATACGTGTAGGATTCGTTTTTTTGGCGCCATAGCCCGTCTGGGTAGCATCCCATCTTCCTTCTCCGCGATCTACAGCTGAGTTGACATGTCAATCTGGCCTTACCATTGAGGCATTGAAGTGGAGAATTATGCTAGCCTTAGAATATACAAAAACTAAGCGCGTGAAAACAAATCAAATTTTCTGCTCTTGCTTTTACCGCCATGCGCTAGGTTTTGTTTTTCATGATAGTGAAATTCATCAAAGGATTTGGAATTGCTACAGTTCCAACGCCACTTTCAGGAGCACTTGCTAGCGTGGACTTGGCTTCGAGTGGCTATGTCCGCATGTATCCTCTGGAGCATTCTGTATCTCTTGTGGTAATAAAATTCAAAGGAAGGTACATATATATAAAAGCTAGGATATGGATATATATGAAATTGAAACATGTGGCCGATGTAATCACTTGAACAGACCATGCTGCGGCCTAATATGACACACACATACACGTCATGCCTGGCCATGGTCACAAATCACTTGCTTATTATGGACTAGTTGAAAGAGTATGTAAATGAAGTGCATTAATGTAAAGCATCAAGACATTAGTTAATATCCTCTACTTTATGAGTTGTCACAGTTTAAATTTCTTAAAACTTGAAAACAGTCAACAAGGTTTGACTACAAGAAACAATGTTGGGGAAACATCCCATTCTTCATGATGAGAATTTTTTCCTTCTTTAGTAGTGATGGAGAGGAATATACACCTCTTTACATATGGGCTGCTCTAAGAGGTACGTTGATACCTTGTGGAATCTAGAGAAAAAAAGCATATCCAAGGGTAAAGTAAGATCATATAAATATACACCTCTTTCAAAGAGTGAATCTTGCAAAATCAGAACCCTAAATTCTCTGCCACATGGCAGCATATTGTGCACATTTTGGCAGACGGTACATAAATAACAGTACTCCCAGATGCTGCCACGTGGCAGATAATTTAGGGTTTTGATTTTGCAAGATTCACTCTTTGAAAGAGGTGTATAACTATATGATCTTACTTTACCCTTGGAAAGAAATATCTATGCTTTTTTTCTCTAGATTCCACAAGGTAGATATCAACAATCCTTTTAGAGCAGCCCATATATATATGAAGTGTTCATGATATGCATGCAATGCAATTTAGTTTGTTTAAGAAGATTTACATATTTTAACAAATTGAGATCTTCTTGTATTGGATGTGATATCTACCACCAGGCTCACTTTTGATATAGATGTCATATAGTTCACCACATGTTATACCATCCTTTGAATTTTCTCAGTTATTTACATACCACAAGACAAAAGTAGGACCACTTGCTAACCTATCTTGGCTTTGTCCGCTTGCATGAATGCGGTGTTGGGAACTATTGCAAATGCCAAATCCTTACTTTGTGACAAAGCTTAGTTTCACCAAGACTATAAATTTCAAGGTGCATGTTCTCTTCCCTCAGTTCTCTCCTTGTTTTGCATATTTTTCTTTTGGTCTACCAAAATGTGTGGGAGTGGTGCACCATTTATTGTGGGAGCAAGCAAGGTTATTATTGTTGTGTTGAGCATAGGTGTTGGTGATGTTTTCCACTTCAATGAACTCTTGGCCTCAAAGGGTTATGATTTTTATCTGGTGGTCAAGCCAAAGACCATCACTGAACTAACCAAGTTTGTTCTCTACAAAGGCTTCCCACTATATCCTCCATATATTCATCACAAGGATACCATGATGCTGACTGAAACTGGCCAAGTGAAGACAACTCCTTGTGGCCTACATGCCCCAAATCCTTATTGTTGCAGCTCCCCCAAGCCAAGTTGCTGTGAAGTTCTACCTTTTTATGAAAAGGTCTATGGGGAACCAAAGGACCTCAATTCTCTATATCATTTGATAGTCAAAGGACAAGGCTGGGTTGTGGACGAGTTTTACAAGGAGATATAGAAAATTGAAGTTGAAAATTGCACACCAACACCACACCAAGAACATCCTCTGAAAGCCAAGAAGACCCTTGCCAATGGTCCTTAGGGATGAATAACATAAATGAAGAAGTGTGTGTGTATGTGTGTGGTTGGTCATGTATGTTGTGTGTACTATGCTAGAGTGCTGCACAGTAACTATAAAAGTTCCTTATACAATATCAAAATAGAAGCATTAGTGTTTGTGCCAAAAACTTGCATTTCATTTGTATCGTGTGCAAACTGCCCAAAAGATTCCTCTCCATCGCTACTAAAGAAGGAAAAAATTCTCATCATGAAGAACGGGATGTTTCCCCAACATTGTTTCTTGTAGTCAAACCTTGTTGGCTGTTTTCAAGTTTTAAGAAATTTAAACTGTGACAACTCATAAAGTAGAGGATATTAACTAATGTCTTGATGCTTTACATTAATGCACTTCATTTACATACTCTTTCAACTAGTCCATAATAAGCAAGTGATTTGTGACCATGGCCAGGCATGACGTGTACGTGTGTGTCATATTAGGCCGCAGCATGGTCTGTTCAAGTGATTACATCGGCCACATGTTTCAATTTCATATATATCCATATCCTAGCTTTTATATATATGTACCTTCCTTTGAATTTTATTACCACAAGAGATACAGAATGCTCCAGAGGATACATGCGGACATAGCCACTCGAAGCCAAGTCCACGCTAGCAAGTGCTCCTGAAAGTGGCGTTGGAACTGTAGCAATTCCAAATCCTTTGATGAATTTCACTATCATGAAAAACAAAACCTAGCGCATGGCGGTAAAAGCAAGAGCAGAAAATTTGATTTGTTTTCACGTGCTTAGTTTTTGTATATTCTAAGGCTAGCATAATTCTCCACTTCAATGCCTCAATGGTAAGGCCAGATTGACATGTCAACTCAGCTGTAGATTGCGGAGAAGGAAGATGGGATGTTTACCCAGACGGGCTATGGCGCCAAAAAAACAAATCCTACACGTATATAAAGTCTTATGAACGAAAACGGATTCAACAAACCTACGGACTTCCTCAGAATCCCTCTTAGTTGAACTCAATTTCAGCTCAAAAGTGGTCCGGGCGCGTGACAGGCTTCATCAGTGACAGTCCGGGCTCCGATGAAAATCAGGGAAGCCTTCCACTGATGCATCACTAGCTATTAGATCTTATTCCTGTACTATTGGTATTATGATGTTAAAATATGTTATCTTCTAGATCCTGGCCTTGCAGCCACTCACGAAAGTCCAAGCATACAGTTCTTTTCTACTCTTAGAGTTAGCGATCACTGGAGCTGTGAACTGGTGTTAAATACGTTTAGCATGGGCTTCATCAACTAAAGGCTAACGTTCAGTGCGATCATTCGTTTTGAATTGTCTTGCCAGTGGAATCAAGATGTCAAGATTCTGGCAAGATTCGACAACGAACAGACACAAAAGAGTATCTATTCTTAACTACGAATCCAACATCCTGTACCGAGAAATCAGGATTAGTAACGGTTTAATCTAAGAGGACAATTTGTCCTGGCATTTTAAGAACTCAATGTGCCTCCACCTAAGAAATGGCCAAGACTCTTTCTATTCGAGTAGCCAGGGCGTCAACTCGGGCTGTCATTTACACAACTCGGCCTTTCCAAACCAAAGACCTGTATAAGACATAAACATTGTCTTGAGAAACTCTTGCAAGCTGGAAAAAAGAAAGTCATACCAATTTCCCACTCTCCATTCGTGACACTGTCATTGCCATGGATGACATTCCTGGCATAGAAAAGTTCATTCCCGAGGGAGAGCTTTAGAAACCAGAACCTTACCTTCCAACAGCAACAGCAAGATCCCCACGTATCATTCTTGGCTCAGCTTGCAGCCACGACGCCAGGACCTTCCCATGCCTGGAATCCAAATGCTTCACCAAAGATGCCGGCTATCATGGCAGCTTTTGGCGTTGATGGTCGTTTAAACGATGCGAGATTGTCTCTGCCCTGCCCTAATCTTGTGTCGAGGAAATGTCATGCTTGCAAAATATGCCCGGGATGGGTATTTGGAGTCCTCGTGGAAAGATTTCAACGCGATGGGTGAGAGAAGCGTTGCATCTTGGACATCGATTATCCAGCCACTGGCGGAATTAGGGAAAGTGGAACTGGCCCAGAATATTTATGATCGGATGCCAATATGGAATGTAATCACGTCGACTTTGATGATAGCTGCATATGCCCAAAGAGGGCATTTTGACTTGGCATTGGGGGCCTTGATTCGATGCCGGAGATCAATGTGGTTACATCGATCCAATAAGATGGCTCTTGGGAGCTCGAGCTCCTGTGCTGCGCTCGTGGAGCTCTACACGCTGACTGGTCTCTTAATGGAAGCGAGGCAGCTCATTGAAAGAATGCTCCAAGTTGATATCGCATCGTGGAACATGTTGCTCGCGGGGTACTACTGCGACGACGCCAAGAGAACTTTCGATGGTATCTTCAGCCGGAACGAGGTAACCTGGAACTGGTCGGAGCTTACGTCCAGAACGGGCAGCTGAGATCGAAATGCTTGAGAGAATGCCGCAGCTTGCTCTGGTTGCGTTCTTGCTGCTTGCAGCCATGCAGGACTTGTAGTTCCAGCTGCCACTACTTCATGTCGATGCTCTCCGACTACGAGCTAGCACCTGTTGCGGAACACTTTTCCTGCGTGATCGATCCTCTGGGACGTGTTGGACTCCGCACAGTTCTCTTCTGGTTTTGCTTTTGGTCTGCCAAAATGTGTGGGAGTGGTCACAAGATGCTGCCACGTGGCAGAGAATGGAGGGTTCTGATATTGTAAGATTCACACGATGGTATTGATCTTTACCTGTAATTACTGTAAACCCCCATATCCAATTGCTTTCGCGCGCTATGGTATATATGTCAAAGAGAAGATTTACACAGGGCAATCTTTGATTCTGTCAATCTCAGCTGGGAGAGGCAGAGGGGCTGGTGGAACCAGCTGCAAACCTGGACATCAGATTTGGGCCTAGATCTGGAGCACAGACCCGTTCCCAGAGGTGGAGCAATGGATGCCCACTGCGCTAGAGTTCTGTCATGCATCACAACATGCGGCAACTCCACGGATTCCATGGGCCACTACATTGCTACAGTCCTGGGTTCTTCAAGCAAGTTGAGAATGGTTGAGGGACAGTTGAGAGGTAGTCTATAACCTATACTATCCGACTCCAAATCCTGCCGACTGCTCTGATGTTTAAAGAGCAAGCAAAGAGCGAGATTGTGGTGTAATCCCATGATCCATGACCATAAAAAAAAAAAAAATGGGTGTGAATTCTTGCTGGGTTGGAGCACAGTAACTTTTAGTTCTCTTCTGTTTTCTGATCCAAACTTCTTGACCATTTGCGTTGGCGGGGTTGCGATCGATCCTGGATAAGCGCGAGAGTGAATATGCGATTCCACGATAAAATCCTTACCTGAAGGAAACGTGATTAGAAAACTCGGCCTTGGAACTCTCTGACGTACCTATGTTAAGATATTTACATTCTGCTGTGATGTCATTGCTTTACTTGTTTCTTTCCTTTCTTTTGCTTCTCCGGCCTGTCATTTTTCCTGGAAGCGTTGAGCGAGACGTGTTCCCGTAGCTGCTCTATCCCTGGCCTCGACGGATGAAAACAGGGCCGTGGACTCGCATGCGGCCACCGGAAGAGCGTTTCTTTCAGTTTTCCCAAGAACCAGTAGGAGAATTTATCGCACAGTAGCTCGTGAGTCAGCCTGAACGCCTTGCAAACATGTTGAAGGCTGCCTTGATGCACGGATCTTGAACAGTTTTCAGATAAATCAAACGGGTCTTCCACCTTAAAAGAAAAACGAAAATTGATTCATTTCGTCGAAAAACTTTTAGTAGATCTTGCTCACCAGCAGCGCATAATTCTTGCTTGCCCATGCCGGATCGGTGGTCGTTTTGTCCCCCCACTGTCCACGGAAAGTACACACAGCTAGACCTTGAATCCACAACTCCTCAACAGCCGAAAACTACAGAAGGAAAATCCGGGATCAGAAAGTTCATAGGAAAATCCATAATACCTGGCCAAAAAATGACACGAACAACTCTGCAACTGAGCTCGTGTTTCCCTTCCCAAAACCTCTTTCTGTGAACTCTGCGATCCTGTTTAGATAATGAAACCCATCAGCTGCAAGCAGCAATTGTCAGTAAGCAGAAAAAAACCAATGAATCATTGACCTGAGGCACCGCCTTGACCGATGATAGCGCTCAATGGTGGCAAAATAGGCGGATTTCGAGTCTAGAGGCTTTGGTTTATCAACATCACATACAAATGTTATGGGCTTACTTGGAGATGAAATATAACGAGTAAAGACAGTGCATACGAGTTCAATGTCCCCATCTTTGGATCGTTAATGCACTGCGCTTTGGCCCAGCACTTAACCTGGGGGAAAAAAAACAGAGAGAGCATAAGAAAAAACCAAACACAAGAAAACTCATTACACTCACGAGGAAGATGAGCTGCCTGCACCTTAAATCCATACCAACAATCAGGCCCAGGGCGTGTGACTTGAAAACAGCGTCGGTATTGCTCACGGAGATGTCACATGAGATTCTCCACCATGCATCCTCAAACATCAAGAGTGGCACGCGAGGCCGAAAGAGAACTTGGACACGAATCGCTCCACCTGAAAGCTCTAGTTAAGTAACAACAAATCGAAGGAGGTGGCACAAGAAAAAAAAAAGTGTACTATACCAGCTTGAAGTAGAGCATCATGGATAGACTTCAGAATTTTGGTCTTTTTGCTCCTGGAAAGCGGTGCCGGCTCAAGCGGCATCAAAGTAATATCTAAATCTCCCCAAGGCGTATACAAGTTTGACAGGAACGATCCAAAAGGTTTGATTGCCAAGCCTGAAAAGAAGGTAGTGTTTGACAAGAGTAAAATGGAAGAGCAACACATACCTTTGCAAACATCGATTTCTCTTATCAAAAACTCCAGCCGCCGCAAAATATCTACTCTGGCCTCGAAATCTTGCTGCGTCGGCTGGAGCTGATTCGCAGTAGCCATCAGCAAGCCCTCGAACAGCGCTGCCGCATTGGAGCGCTTAAAATCATCCACGCGCTGGTGCTCCAGCTGCCCGGCGATCGCAGCGATGTCAAGATCCAGCGCCATTTCAAGCAGCGATCGTCAAGCGCCCGGAAGAATCGAGCGGAGACGCACCTTAAAATCTCTCGTCGTCCCCGCCATGAGATGGACGAACCCTAAAGTAAAAAATCAGGTCCCACGTAAGACCTTCCTTTTAATCCATCTGCCACGTAGACCGGCCCAAGGATATAAGCTCTCCTCTCCTCTCTCTCTCTTGGTTCTCGCGAGAGTCATGGCTTCTTCTTCTCTAGCTCAAATAGTCGCGCATTCTAGCCCTAGGGTGGATACCGGCGCGTCGAGGAGGAATCGCTCGGCGCTGGCATTTCACTGCCACCGGATCTCGTGGCGCCGCCCTAGCGCCATTCGATGGCGCATCGGATCCTCGCAAGCTGCTGTGGCGAGCGAGGAGAACATTGCGGTCGTCGCTCAGCCCAGAGCAGAGGTTTGTTTGTAGTTCTTGAATTTCCGCTGGATTTCTTTCCATCTTGGCAGGGAGGGCTAGAACAAACGTATGTGATGGTGAAACCCGATGGAGTCCAACGCGGACTGGTACATGTCTTTCGAGTTTTTGCGTTCTCTAGCTATGGAAAAAAACGATTTTGTTCTTTTGTAAGGTTGGAGAAATCATCTCTCGCTTTGAGAGGAAGGGATTTCGTCTTGCGGGATTGAAAATGTTCCAGTGCCCCAAGGATCTTGCAAAGGTGATGTAAAGCTTAAAGACCTTGCTCAAAGTTTTTCTTCTTTTTCTCTCTTGCAGAAGCATTATGAGGAGCTCCAAGAGAAGCCATTCTTTCCCAAGCTTGTGAAGTACATAACCTCCGGTCCTGTTGTTTGCATGGTAAGTTTCTCTCCTGTTGGGGCATCTTCTTTGAAGCCTTTGGATTCCAGGCATGGGAAGGTCCTGGAGTCGTGGCTTCAGCACGAAAACTTATTGGATCCACAAACCCGCTACAAGCTGAGCCAGGAACGATACGTGGGGATCTTGCTGTTGCAGTTGGAAGGTAAAGTTTTGGTTTCTAAAGTTCTCAGGAATGAAATTTTGTGCTCGGTTATACCAGGAATGTCATCCATGGTAGTGACAGTGTCGCAAATGGAGAGCGGGAGATTGGTATGCCTTTGTTTTTCCAGCTTGAAAGAGTTTCCCAAGACAATATTTGCACAGGTCTTTGGTTTGGGGAGGCCGAGTTGTGTAAATGGCACCTGGAGTTGACGCCTTGGCTACTCGAATAAAAGAGTCAGAGCCACATTGAGTTTTTAAAATTGCCTCATATCTTGCAGAAAACAAAATAAAAGACAAATTGTCTGAAACTTTGTTGGATTCGTAGGTACTTTGCATCACAAAAGGATGCTCTCTGTAGTGTGTTATATACAACAATAAGCCCATAAATGGCATATTCTACAAGTTTAATTATATGGCATAGAATTGAAAACAAAAATTTATTTTGTTGAAACAACCATTAGCAGCAATAGCTAGCTAGCTCTCTCTCTCTCTCTCTCTCTCTCTCTCTCTCTCTCATAAAGGAACAAGCAATTAGGAAGCTTGAAACTAGGCATAGGAGGCATGAAAAGGAAGCCCTTGAAAATAAAGCATTGATTGAATCAATGTTAGATCATTATATATGAAATCGACAGAAGTTCAAACTAAAACAAAAGATGAAACAATTTAATGCTTTTATTTTGATATTGTAATAACCCAAACATTTATATAATTACTATGCAACACTTTTGCACAATACAGACTATACACACACTAGAACAAAAGAGATTTACCCAAAGTACTAAATATCTTGTGTGCAATAGGCTCAAAGGTCTCATCTATGGTGATTTCTTATACTTTATTATAGTACTCATCCACAATCTAGACTTTCCCTTTGCCGCAGCCACAAGCTTCTCCTTTGATCATTAAATGATAAAGAGAACTTGGGGGCTATGGTTTCCCATAGGTCTTTTTAAAAAGAGGTAGAACCTCACAACAACTTGGTGTGGGGGAGTTGTAGCAATAAGGATTTAGGGTATATAGGTTGTAAAGAGTTGTCTTCACTTAGCTAGTTTCAGTCAGCATCATAGCATCCTTGTGATTCACATATAGAAGATATAATAGGTGACCTTTGTAGAGAACAAGCTTTGTTGGCTTGGTGTTTGTATTCAACTTGACTACCAAATAAAAGTTATAACCCTTTAAACCCAAGAGTTGATTGCAGTGAAGAACATCACTAACACCTATGCTCAACACAACAATCATAACCTTGCTTGCTCCTACAAGAGGTGCACCACCTCTATACATTTTTGCAAACTGAAGAGGAATATATAAAAACTAAAAGAACTATAAGTAAGAGGTGGTGGGGGAAGGAAAGCATGCATCCTGCAATTTATAGCCTTGGTGAAATTAAGATTTGTGAAATTCATCTCTTCACAAAATAATGAGTTACCATTACTATAGTTTTAAGAGGACCACTTGGTAGCATTTATGACTGAGTGGCCTTGTATGCTCTTAAGCACTCTCTATCTCTTGTGGGACTAGATATACCAACTTGTGTACCATATACACAACTAACATTTATATCAAAGGATGGATGATCATCAAAGTGGTGGTAGATATCATGTGGATAAAACAAATATGGTTGAAAACCCATAAATGATATTTGTTAAAATGCATATAAAGGTTATTTTTATTTCTCTCTCTCTTTCTCTCTCTCTCTTACACACATACACACATACACACACAAATGCCAACTATTGTTGCTAATGGTTGTTTTAATGAAATAAGTTTTTTGTTCATTTCTATGCTTATCTGGTATTTACTACTACTTTTTATGATGCAAAATATCTACAAAGTTTCAGAAAATTTGTCCTTTCTTTCTTTTTTTTCTAGCTCCAAATCTTTTATTCAAGTAGTGAGGGCATCAACTTGGGTTACCATTTACACAACTCAACCTCCCCAAACCAAAGACCTGTGCAAATATTGTCTTGGGAAACTCTTTCAAATTGGAAAAACAAAGGTATACCAATCTCCCACTCTCTATTTGTGACACTGTCATTACCATGGATGACATTCATGGCATAACTGAGGATGAAAGTTCATTCTTGAGAACTTTAGAAACCAAAACTTTACCTTCCAACCACAATAACAAGATCTCCACATATCGTTCCTGACTCAGTGTTCATGGGCCAAATAAGTTTTTGTCTGGAAGCCATGACTCTAAGACTTTCTTATGCCTAGAATCCACATTGCTTTGGGGTCTTGAGGCACAAGGAGATTTCACCTATTGGTGCCAATTAGGTGGTCTATGGACCTTCATCTGAAAAGCTTCACAAAAGATGCCCTAATAGGAGAGAAACTTAGAAGCTATACTTCACAAGCTTGGGAAAGAATGGCTTCTCTTGGAGTTCCTCCTTTGTAAGATCTTTAGGGCATTGAAACATTTTCAATCCCACAAGACAAAATCCCTCCAATCCAAAATTTATCATTGCGGCCAAGGAGATATGTGAATTTGTGAGCCTTGCTAGAAGCTGGAACAAGTTGCTCACTTTGAAGCTTGGCAATCATGGACGCAAAAAAAAGGTGGGTAAACATATTAAACAAAATATTGGAACCTACTGCCTCGGAAATGGTGGGCAAATAGTGGCTACCTCTGCCTTGAAATGTTGATCGTGGAGGACAATAGTTGAAGAGGTGGAAGACATGGAAGCCATTGGTGAGAGTTTGATGGCAACATTCATCCAGATAGACAACATTTACAAAAGTTCATTCTAAAACAAAAGATGAAATGATTTGGTGCAAACACCAATGCTTTTATTTTGATATTGTAAGAACCTAGGCATTTATATAGTTACTGTGCAGCACTTTGGCACAATACACACTATACACACACTTCCCCATTTATATTATTCATGGCTTTTTAGGCTCATCCTGAGCATAAACCACAAGAGCACCCAGAGTAGTAGTTTCCTTGTATGCCTTAGGTGTAAGGTTCTCACCCACAGTGATTTCCTGTATCTCATTGTAGTACTCGTTGACAACCCAAACTTTCCCGTCGCCATGATAAACAAAACTTAGGGGCTTTGGTTCTCCATAGGTCTTTTCAAAAACAGGTAGAGCCTCACAACAACCTGGTATGGGAGAGTCATAACAACAAAGATTTGGGGCATGCATGCTGTAAGGAGCTGTCTTCACTTGGCCAATTTCAGTCAGTGTCATGGCATCATTGTGATTCATATATGAAGGATATAGTGGGTGACTTTTGTAGAAAAAAAACTTTGTTGGATGGGTGCTTGTTTTTGGCTTGACTCCCAAATAGAAGTCATAACCCTTTGAGCCCAGGAGCTGATTGGAGTGGAGAACATCACCAACACTTTTGGTCAATACAATAGTCATAGCCTTGCTTGCTCCCAGAAGTGGTGCACCACCCCCACACATTTTTGCAGACTAAAGAGGCATTACTTTAAGTTTTACAAATTTTAGTTTCACCAAGGCTATAAATTATAGGGTGCATGTTCTCCTCCCCCATTGCCTTTTATTTGTAGTTCTCTTTGCCATTGCTACAGTTTCAAGAAGACCACTTGATAGCATTCATGATTAGGTGGCCTTGTATGCTCAAGCACTCTCTATTTCTTGTGGGACTAGATATGCCAGCTTCTGTACCATATGCAGGACCAATATTTATATCAAAGGATGGATGATTGTCAAAAGTGGTGGTAGATGGATAAACCAAACGTGACTATTTATAAGGCTGAGAACCCATAGCTAAAAGAATTTTGTTAACGTTTTTTTTCTTCAAGTTCAAGTTAAAACTTTATTCTTTGCAGATTGTTTCCTCTACAAGAAAAAAGATCACATAAGCAAGAATTGTCCATCTAGATTCTTTCAAAAGTTTGGAGTAAGCATTGTAATACTTCATTTAAACTCTTTACTAACATTATTAAAATTTATGACTCAATTCTATAAAAGAATTAAACACACTTTTTGCAATTACCAACTTGCATACCTACGGTGAGTCCACATCCTTTGCCCTGCAAAAAGTGATAGCATAAAATTTCAAAAAGCCATTCTTGATATACTTAATTATTATGTTCCACAAATCCATAAAAAGAACCTGTGTATCATTTTTCTCTCCTTATTGAAAGAATCCCCCACATTTGAAACCAAATTCTTCTTCTCCCTAACAGTTTTCCACAATGCTAGATCCTTCTTCCACATCCATGAAAAGAACATGATAGGTTTCCACTTTAGCATGGCACTTCACAAAACCAAGCTCACAAATCTCGATCCAAATGCCCATTCTTAGCATAAGCAGATTCGATCATACCATCGAAGACTGAGGGAGCATCTCCAATTTGGATGGGAAGAGTTGAGAGATAAGACCCACGAGTGGATCTGCTTGGCTTGAGGAAGAGCTTATCAGAGTGACGCATTCTTGCAGGCTCAGCACTGCCGAATGCGAGCGTTTTGCACCGACAAACAAATTTTCTGTTAGCATCCCAGGAACTAAAATGCCTCAACTTACATGGAGAGAAAAAAAGAAAGGCTTTTCCCTGGAGACTATATCACGGCCGGATCTTGTGTCACGAAAGGGTTGGCGATTTCTTCGGTACCATCAGTTGGAGCGACGAGCATCACCGCGGTACCTCTACAAACCTGAGAAAGAAGGAAGCCAAAACCATCAAAGTTTTCGCTCTCGAGTAAGAAAACTTACCACTAGGCCGAGAGCTCTGGTTTGATCCGTTGTCTTCAATGGATCATCGTGATCTATTGACAGAAAAGTTTAGCTCCTTCCAGAGCAAATTCCAGACTCATACCTCTCAAGTACTCGACTGCCTCATCCAGGACGAGATTGAGTAGCTGGTCATAGCCTTTCAAGGTCCCGATCACTGCTCCATTCCACGATTTCAAGCAAAATCCACCCCAGACTGCATTTCATACCTTGGCGCCCGCCGCTGAGCTTGACGCACACGCCCTTGTCGATGAACTTGGCCAAATCGAGCACAGTCTCCTTGCGATTCGACTGCAGGAACGAGAGAATCACACAGGGGTGAGTGGAAATCCGCGACGATCTTCCATGGAGTGGAGCTCACCATGTCTCTTCTAAAACCCTATCTTGCCCTAAATTCCCCGATTTAAAAACTTTGCCCTAAAAGAGGGACGGGAGCTCGAATCCCGGGAACTCTCGCGCCTGTCTGTTGCAACTCCCGCGGCATGCCGGCCGAGTTTCGCGCGAGAATTTCTTGGGCGAGGAGGAAGAAGAAGAGAAATGGGCGTTTCTGGAATTCTCAGCTATCTCGAATACGCGCTTCTCCACAAGATTTTCGTCATGAAAATCTTTGGGTGAGTGCTTTTGATCGATACATTGATGAGAATCCATCGAAGGGAAACAATGCGCTGAGCGAGAGAAGGGAAATTCTTGCAGGAGGCACGTACGATCCGAGCAAGCCATGGCTGAGGCTTCGGATCTGTCGCCCATATCTCTCACGCTCAATGACTACCGCGTCACGCTCGACAACGGGCAATGGACTTCGGGTAAGATCTAGAGAAAATCCTCTCTTTTCGATCGATTCTCCTCCTTGTTCTCTAGATTATCCCGACGATGGGAGGACCGATCACGCGCCCCCATCGGGTGCCATGGAGAAAGAAGTCATTCGCTTGCGGAACGATAAGCGAAGATTGGTATGGCCTTCCCGCGAAAAGAAAGTGGTGTTTTTCACTCTCGATCTCCACTGAAAGATGCGAGACCTCGAGAAATTCAAGCGCCAAGCTCGCGAGATGGACGAGCTCAAGGAGCGATGGAGCAATCTGGATTTCAAGTACCAGCTTCTCATGGACATGGTACAATCAAAACTTCCAGAATTCTCTCAAGAGCAAAGCTATGATTCTTCCCAAATCTCTCTCCAGTGGACGCTGAAGCAGCTCGATACCGAGAAGCAAGCATCCTCGCGAGCGCACAGCCCCACATCCAACAAGAACTCTCCTCGCGCTGGAACACCATCCTAGAACTTGGCTCGAATTTAAAATTAGGCCAATGCTCTGTTTTTAGGGCAAGCCTAGGTTTGTGTGATTCTCGGCTATGGCACCTCCAGCGCTGAGGCTGCCGCGCCATTCCTCCGGCGACGACACCAAATGCAGGCCCGCGCTGCTGCTCATCGCGGTCTCGGCATGCGCCGCCATCGCGACTTACTTCGCGCTGTCGCCACTCTTCCAACCGGATCAGGGCGCGATCTCGTCGGATTCCAGCGACGGCCGCTCCGCCAGGCACCTCGTGGCGATCCGCGAGGAGAAGGCGGCGTGCTGCCGCGGGATCGAGCACCAGGAGCTGTGGGGATCGGTGGTCCAGTGGGGGACGAGCAACAAGGTGAATTCCTCCGCCGCGTGCTGCCAGGCTTGCAAGGCCGCGCAGTGTAATTCCTGGGTGTATTGCGGGGATCGAGTGAAATGCGGGCCAAATTTTGGAGAGGTAGTATAAAGTTGACTCCTTCCTTGTCCGAGCGTGTTGTTTGTTTTCATTCTCTTCACAGTGCTGGCTAAAGAATCAGGAGGATCCTCTCTCCCCCGACGTCCAGGATTCTAGCAAGGACGTCTACTGGACTTCTGGGCTTGTCTATGCGAAGAATGTGGTAAGCTCTAGCTAGATTTCGATTTGGACACTGACAGTCTTGCTAAAGTAAGATCTTCTCCTTGTTTTTGACAGGGTCTCGTGCAGCTAGAGACCGAATATGGAGCGATCAGGCTCCAGGTAAGAAGAGAAGTTTAAGTTTGAGTTTGAGCTAAGTTGAGAAACAAAACACTTCCTTCACAGCTTCTTCCAGACTGCGCTCCACTTTCAGTCGCGTTTGTGATCGAGCTCTTGAAGTTGCGGCACTGCGCAGGTTGCAACATCTACCGAGCTGAGACCCGCGGGAATTCATGGGATGAGGAAGGAAATCCCACAGCAAAGGTAAGAGTTGCACATTCTTTTCAAATTTATGCTCTATGTTTCTCATGTTTTCTTGTTTTCTTTCTTAGAACTTGAGAGGACCTCCTCATGCTATTTTACAAGGCACTCTAGAGGCCGAGGGCCTCGGCTTCAAGGAACTCCCCAGAGAAGCTTGTCCGATGATCCGCAGGGGTATGGTAGGATGGATCGAAGGAGGCCCCGATTTTTTCATCAGCCTCGCAAACCATGACGATTGGTACCCGAAACACACAGTTTTTGCCAACGTTCTTCCAGACGACCTTCCTCTAGTTGAGAAGCTCGCGAGCTTGCCAACGTCAAAGACCATCTGGAGCGGGATTGATGTCGCTGTGCTGAAGAAGCCGATCAGCTTGAAATTGGCGAGGGCGAGCGTTGCATCGTCCTGACTCAGTTCTAATTTTTTTTCCTTGTTCTCCCATAACATCACGCTGCTGCTTCCAGATTCACGGCAGAAGTCGCAGGTTTACTTCCAAACAGGCTGGTGAATAGTTTTGTAGCCATAGGTGGTAGTACCATCGGTTCAGGAACCATGAAATTTACCAGTGGCTCATGGACAGTGTATCTACACAAAAAATCAAAGTTTGAGATGACCAAAGTGAGAAACCAAACTCTCTCGCTTGCCTTATCTTTCGGCCTTTAGAAGCGCGACGATCTACGTTTTTCCTTTTCTTGCTCCGGAGCTTTCGAACTGCGTCATGGTCTACACAAGGTACAAGCACAATCAGAACATTCTCACTAGAGAAAAAGCTTCTTACCGAGGCCAGTGGGATTTGAAGACTCGAGAAATTCACGTAAAAGCTGCTGATAGAACTCGGAATCATCAAGCACCTTAATTTCATTAGTCTTTGTTTCCATATCGTTTGTGTCCGTCTGGAAAAAGTTGATAAGCCTAAAAGACTGTAAAGAACGAGCAAAGATGAAAAACCTGTGTTTTCGAAGGTTCGGAGCGCATCATTCTTGCTATGAACCGCGGCGTGTCCTTCATTGCTGCTGCTACTTGTTGTGAAATACTCTGTAAAGACGTAAAAGGCCGTGTGAATTAAAAAAATAAAAAAAAAAAGCCAGAACGTTTAAACCTGGTTGAAAGCTTTTAACTTCGATCGCGATGCCGCAGCGCCTGAAGATATTTGAGTCTTTCTGTGCCATCTATCGACCGTACGATCTCTATACGGAATAAGCCTGCAATACATGTCTAGTGTCATCAGCTCGTAAAGCAAGAGCTCAATTACCTTGAATACGAGTTGCTTAATCTTTGCCAAGCTGAGTCCAGGCTATCTGAGACGCTATGGATTTCCTGTTCCACGTCCGAATCTGTAACAAGATAAGTTAATCTGCTCACCGTAAAAGAAAAATAATTCGAAACCTTTTCTGTAAGCATCGAGTGCCTCCCGGTTTTGTTCCAGCAATGCCTGCAGGACCACAATTTAAGCGCTAGAAAAGCATCAACCATCACTATACGTTTTCTAGATCCAGAAGCGAATCAAGGGTCTGCAAGGCCGCCGCTTTCAGCGTTTGTTGTGCTTCGCTTGGGCTCGACGCTTCCTCCTGTCAAGCTTCCTTTCATACCATAAAAAGAAATACGGAAAAAGAAGCGTCACCTGTGGTAGCAGATTGGATCCTGCAACTATCTTCTGCAACGCAATTCGCATATGCAAAGCGCTGCCCCACAATTCCTGCCAGGCCATTTCTCTTGAAATCATCCCATTGTCAAAATCATGACACATACCATCTGGTTTTTCACTGCTCGGCCTTTCCGTATATCCACATCATTCTGTCCTCTCAAGCTCTTCAACATCTCTCTGAAAGGACGTAAAAGAACACCAAACGTGGTTAAAGGACGAAGGATGACGATACGACGCACTCACTGTTCTTCTTTATTAAGATCTTCGTATTCCTTGTTGACGGCTTCAAAATCGTCATCAAGAACCTGCTCCAACATCAAAGCTCAAAAAATTGGCGTTAGAGGTGCAAAAAAACTAAATCACATTCCTTACGTTCTTTTCTACTTGTTTTTCGTCGTCGTCCTCCTCCTCACTGAAAGCTGGTTGTAGATCATCCCGATCGTGAAAATCGTCGTCACTGATCCCATCAAAAGCATCCTTTCTGCTGCTCTTGCGACCGGAATACTCCTTCCCTTCAAGTGATATATCTGGCCTCAACCGGAGCCTTCCATCCCTGAAAACGAGAGAAAAAAAAAAATGATCGTCGGAAAAAAAACTCATTGTCCTATCACTCACGATTTCGAAAAGGTTTCCACTTCATCCGGGCCATCAGAGCTTTGCTCCTGGAGCAAATGCTGCGTCTCTTGCCCGAATCCCGCCTCCTCATCTACAAACTCCAGTCACAAACACCGCATTCTTCCAAGAATCACGTACCGTCCCAGGAATCCTCGTCCGAATCCGATGCCACGGCCTTCGCCTTCGCCTTCGCAGGCATCGCGCGATAAACCCTAACCCTAATTTTTGCAAAACAAAAAACCTGTAAGTGAAAGCGATTCGAACCCGCGCAAAAATAAAAGCTTGTCAGATTTCCAGTCTGATGCTCTATCCAATTCAACCTCAACGAGATCCCTGACACACTATGCCAGAAATCTCTAATGGTTTTTCCCCCCTCCACCATATAATTTTAAAAGATTTGATCCATGGGACAGAGCCACTGCCGGGTTTCGAACCTGAGAAAAAGATATACCCGCCAGATTTTCAGTCTGGTGCTCTATCCAACTAAGCCTCGGTGTGATCCTTTGTTCCCAATCCTCCACACGTTTATAATATGGTGTGTACTCGTAGCTGCGATTCGAACCTGGAAAAAAGAAATGCAGGTCAGATTTTCAGTCTGATGCTCTATCCAACTCCACTCCAATGTGGCCGCTTGATATTATGTTTCTGTACTCCATGTATATGTTGAAATCATTCTTTTCTTTGTACCATACAATGATTTGAAATGCACAAACTATTGACATGGTTTGAGTGAGTGAAGCTTCGGCTGAGATGTCAGACTTAAAATCTGCCAGAACCTTTTGTTTCAGGTTCAAGTCCCTCTCTCTCTCTCTCTTTCTCTCTTTGTGTCAGGCCTCTTTTTGACTCGAGTTCGAAACTCTTTTACAGCTATACACCTGTAAAGAATTGTCACTACTACACCTTTTGTTTGGTTACTACCAGTTAAAGGCTGGCCCCAAGGATGTGATTTTGAGTTTTGGTCCAAAATATTGAAACATTATTAAAAAAATAGAAATTGGATGTTGTTGAAACTTGGCACCAAGAAGCAATCGTTCTCACTATTACTTCGATCTCCAAACCAGAATATCATTTCCATCCCAAAATCATTCAAATATATGCCCGCTTAATTCTGCATTTCCCTGAATCCTGAATAGCCACACAGGGATATTTTCTGGAGAAAACGATTGACCTCGACCCGACGTTTCGATATACCACCCCGATTTTTCGGTCCCATATCCGATTTACTGCTAAACAATGCCACTAGGCAAGATGACATAAGCCGACTCCGATATAAATTACAGACGTATATCAGGAGTATACGGGTGGCCAGCTTTTAGGAAATAAATTCTTTTAAAAAAAACAAGAAAATAACAGGTCGTTTGCTAAGAGGTGACAACCCAATAACTGGTACAAGAGATCCAACCAGGAAGAAGAAGGCAAAGCGGCACTCTAATAAGCAAGGGGATGGATTCCCCTAAACAAAAACTAAACATAAAGATCCAATGTTCAATGCGCAGCCCATTTACAAGTTGATACTTGACAGTAAACTTGTGTGAGTTTGTGGAGATCTTTCTGGCTTCTGTGTCACTTTGTTCTTGGTACGACCCGAGCAAGAACCAAAGCCAGGAGTCACTTATTGATGCCATAAGCAACAACAGCAAGGAGATATTCCTTAGATAGTGGATGGAGCGTCAAGTACCTTACTTATCAGCAATCCAATCAATCAATCAATTAAGCCCTTCATATATTCAACGGGACAAAAAAGGTTAAAAAAGAAAAACATATTGTATTTTCATATAAAACTGGTTCTCATAGCTTTAGAAATTTTCCTGGCTGCTGTACAACAATGAAAAATAATAAATTCTGGAAGAGGTCAACGCTGGTCAGCAGCCTGTTTAGCAGCGGCAACCGCCACCTTGTCCCTGGCGAAGATCCTCTGGCCTGGGGATAGTATGGCGTTTGGGTCGTACTTGATCTTGTTCGCCAAAAACTTGCCCCAAGAATCTCCGAAGTGTTGTTTCCACTCGGCATCACTGTGGTAGTGTGGAAAGTATTGCTTCACGTTGAGGCCGTTGATCTCACACCTCCGCATGATCTCTTCGTTTTGCTGGACGTGGGCTTCCAAAGGCTGACCACCCTCCACCACATAGCGCAGCAAACAAACAATGTAAAAAATGGACTCGTCCGGCACCACCACGGATGATCTAGTCTCCCACCTATAGAATATAAATGGTGTATATTATATGGATTTTCCTTGGGGAAAAGATAGAAAAAATTCCTAGAGAAAAGTGTAGACTTACTTGGATCTGTTGAGTGGATAGATGAGCATGGGTCCATTGACGCCTTTGCAAACCATGTCCCGGAAAACTATGTCGTTGAACTTGGAGATTTTGCTCTTTGGGACGAACAATGCAAGCCACGGGTGTGGGACGTCCCACTGCTTGATCTTTCGCAGCACCTCCTCTACGCCGTGGACGCGATTGAGGAAGTCGAAGTACGTTAGATCCGTGGTGAAGGTCAGGCCCGGGACGAAGGAAAGCGAGCCTAGCAACGTCTCCAACCGCTGAAGGCAAGTCTCCGTATCTTAGATCCAAAAACTTTGGAAGAGAACTCGAAGAACTTACATCTTCCATGAGCGCTTCTTGGCCGTGGTTGTAATACTTTGCGATCTCGATACAGTAGAGGACGGGGCCAGAGGAGTCCGGGATGAGCGACGGATCGATCGCCTCGCCATCGAAGGGGACCGAATTGTATCCCTGGTATGGATCGTCGCAGCTGGGGATGACGATCCCTTCCACGTAGTTGACGACATCCTCGTTCAAGGAGATAAGCCGCTCGATGTCCTTTTGGAACGCTCCAAAGTCCGTGTAGACGAGACGCTTGTACCTCGCCTGGAAGAGTAGAAAGCCTTTTAGATCGAGACAAAGACCAACAAAGAATCAAAGATATGAACTTACTCTCTCGGGAGCTTCTTCCAGCGGGATCCGAGCTTTGGTGATGATCCCAAACTGTCCAAGTCCGCCAAGAACAGCGTAGAAGAGATCCGAATTCCTCGTAGCCGAGCAAGTCACAGTGTCGCCGTTGCCTGCAGCACGAAAAAAGTTCCTTTTTAAATCAAGGAGAAGATAAAAGAATGGCTTCATACCAAAACAAGGACCCCAAGCCAAGAACACAAAACAAAAACAAAAGAAACAAGGAAAATGTGGAAGACACACACTTCTCTTCTTCTTCTTCCATTTTCTTTGAGCAAGAAAGGATCTAAAGGAATACCAGTGACGACTTGGAGCTGGAGAACGTTGCTGATTTGGGGGCCGTGGCGGAAGGCCTGGCCGCTCACGCCGGCATTGGAGAGCGTCCCGCCAACGCTGAGGTAGAGATAATCCGTCCAGGTCCGCGGCGCCAACCCACACTTGAGCGTCTCTCGCAGCACATCGATCCACAGCGCTCCTCCGGATGCCTCCACGAACGGGCCACCACAGAAAAGATCGTCATCGCCGCCACCATGATCCTTGCTTTGATGGATTTCTTCTCGATGATCCTGGTGGTGATCGTGGTGTTGGATTGGATTGACGATGCGAATGGCGTTGGTGGGCATCCGGGGCATGTCAATTACGATTCCATTCAGGGCCTGCGCTTGGCCGTGGACCGAGTGGCCGTTGCCCCTGGCGGCGATGGTGAGCTTGGCGGTGGCGTTGGCGACTCTCACCAAGCTGGAAATTCCATCGCTGGACGTGGGACACACGACGCAGCGGGGCGGGCTGTGGATCAAACCCCCAAAATCTCTCGCAGCGTCTTGTGAATTCAGGCTCTTCGAATCTGCGGACAAGACCACCATCAGCAAGAGAAAACTATATCAAAGAGAAGGTCTCTCCAACGTTTTTGCAAAGTTCTTCTTCTCCCTCTCTCTCTCTCTCTCTCTCCTCTTCCTCTCTTTTTCTTTCTTGCTCTTTTCTTTCTTTAGTTTGCATGTTTTCATGGAATGGATGGAATTAGAATGGGTGGTTCTTGTGATATTTTTCCTACCTTGATCAGAGCTTTTCCTTGCCACTTCTCTGCTCTTGAGCTTCACTTTCCCCATTGAAATTCCCTCTCTTTCCTCTTGTTTGGAGTGCAGATTATCCTCCCCAAAGAGAAAAGGATCCCACCCTCTTATAGGGAGACTTGTTCTTGCATGACAAACCTTTTGCTGGTAGGCTAAGGACTCACAACAAGAACACACAGCCCAATACCAACACCAATAGCAACTTGCTAGCTTGTTGGTAGATGCTGCAGCAACATCAGTGGAAAAAAAAACAGAGAGAGAGAAATAAGGGAAAACAAAGGTAAAATTCCTCCTTGGGATCAATCCCCTGAAAAAAGAAAGGAAAGATCCCAATCCCAAACAGGAGGAGGAGGAGAGAAGAGAACACTCGGTGTTTGAAACAAGCAGTGTATATAGGTATATGCACATATATATATAAGTGAACACTCACACACCCTCCTCCATTACCATGGGGGAGGATACCAGTTGAATCAACTAACAACCTAACAAAAGCAGTTGAGTAACTCGTCCCTTGCTCTGGTAACAACAATTATCCCTTTAGTTGGATTTGGGTTGGAAAAAAAAAAGAGGAATTTAAAGAAAATGGATAAAATAACCAAAAAAATATCATTTATGTAACGATAATGTAAAAACGTGAATTTCCCGGGTATTGGGACACAAAACAGCAACAAGGCAGCAGTGCTGCAGCAGTTACAGCTGCCACTCTGCATTGGCAACGATAACAACAGAACAGGCTTTGCGAAAGAGACGAGATAACGATAATGTCAAGTGAGGATTTTTGTGGCGGATAGTGGGGCAGGATATAACCCCTCCCCTCTGCAGAGGAGGAATTATCAAAAACCTCCCCTGCAGCACGTGGATCTTGCACAAAGCTGCGAGGGTTTGCGAGAGGGTTAATTCATAGTACGTGGAAGAGGTGGTGAATGTATCGCCACACCTTTCAACCTGGGCGAAATCTTTCCCAGAAAAGTGTAGCATGGAATGCATTTCTCGTAATAAAATACGAACAGAATAAATTGTGGTGAATGTTTGGCGGGTGAATTCTTCTCTCGGAGCTTCTTTTGTCTTGGAGTGGGTCGTATTGTTTCCTTTTTCTTGTCTACCACCTTTCCCCCTTGTTCTTGTTCTCCTTCTGCTTCTCCCTTCTTGGTTTGCGGAGGAGAGAGCTTGATTGGATTGATTGGTGGGTGGCGGTGTGGTGGCAGTACGTCTACGCGCCGCCGAATGCCTTCCTTGCAGTGATCTCATCCCTGCAAACGTCACGAAACAACGCGATGCAAGCGATCAATTGCCCAAAAAGAGAAAGAAAAGATCCCACAGTTTCGAAAGCCCGAAAAACTAACTCTCTTTCTTTTCCTTTACATAGCAAACAACTTTGGCCCCGGGCGGCGGCGGAATTTCCACAACCTTTTCACGTGAAAGAAATCTCGCCTCATTGTAGAGCGCGTCCTGCGTAAACAAAGCGAAATATTTTATGCTCTGATTCGAATCCGTGGAGATAACGTAGATTATTGCTGGCTGTGCATGGCTAGGAATTACAGCTCTTCATGTCTCTCCGCTGTAGTTGACTGGGGTAACACAGCGGTGCATGCGCGACACAAGACCATCAAAGTCTAAACCAAATCAAATAAAAACTCCATCAAGCACCGAGGACAGGGATCGAACGAAATGCCGCAAAATTCCCTATGTGCCTGCCTCGAGCTGTGGATGATCATCGTTTTAACTTCTCGATGCTCTGCTCGATCGATGTTGCCGTGTCGTGTCCCTTGCCTGGAAACAGGAAGTGGAAAGCGGACAAATGCAGGATCCCAGCGCAGATCTCATTTGTTCAGACATGAGATCACCATATCCTCCTCATATCTTCCACGCAATTAGGAGGACAAAACGCAGAGGGGACCCAACCAATGACCATTTGCCAAGGCGGGCACGCAGACGACAAGGCGTGCTTCCACAATACCACCCCATACACACGCCAACGATCGTCCTTTTCCATTATTTCTTTCTCATTCTTCCATCCTCTTATACGATGTTACGAACAAGACGCCTTTGCTTTTGTGGCATGGACAACGAATATAATGAGAGGAGAGGTCCGGGTTTATTTGACTTGCGTGCAAGGAACATTCCTGTGGGGTGTGTGTCACACTGGTCAAAGTCTAAGATCCCCTGTTCGAGCACTTACTCTTCCCTAAAGTTCCAGAGATTTTGCATGTAACCACAGCAAAAAGTTTTAAAAAACATGGTCTTATGTGTGTGGATGGCATTTATGCGCAGGAGGACGCAAGAAAAGCAGGCCATGCTTCTTTGTTCTTTGCTTTTTCCTATTCAAATATTTGTTCCTGGGAACATCTGCATACCTCACCTATTGATTGGATGAATGAATTGTTTGGGACTCAAGTTGGCCCCCCAGTGAATAATGTCCAAGGTCAATGTTTCGAAGATACCACCAGTCAACGAGAGAAAAAGAAAAAAGGAACTGTTATAGTTTACTAGTGCATAGTGAGGTGGCCTTTTTAGCAGCGAAGGCCAGGAGCCAGTCAATGGTCTCCACGTGAATGCCCTCTGTTGGTGCTGGTGGTACACACAATAAGGAACAACCGGAAACTCGCCACCACCTTTCTTTTCTTCTTTCTTATCTCCGTAACTAGAATGATGAATATGCCCGTCTCCCAATTTTGAGAGAGATAGTTTGCTGTTGGCTGGCTCTGTGTGTTTGCCGAGAGACAGGACACGCAAACAAACGCCCAGCACACATACGCATGAACATGAGCGGATTTTCGTTTCTAGATTTCCTTTATCTCTTTGTTTTGTTTGGCTTTGTTTTTAGTCTCCGTTGTCTATGAGGTACTATCCCCAGGACGATTGCATGAAAAGGAGAGATTGGGGTGGCTCCATCCAAGCCCAGAAGTTTGGACTAGTCCTACTACTACTACCTAGGACTTCTTTCAGGGGCATCGAGCAAATGTGTATGAGCTGTTTCGCCATGACTTGTTGGCTCCCAGTGAAGAATACGATGTCACCACTTTATATATTGTGTTGGGCAGCGCAGCGCAGAAGGCCAGAAGGCCAGCACAACAGTAACAGCAACAGCTTTTGCCCTCTCCTTCTTCCCCCGCCGCCACCCAAAAACCCAAAGGACAAAGGATACCAAGGGATCTGATATTGAGGTTTGCGCATTTTCATAGCTTGTCCATCAGACTCAAGTGCTTAAAATAACAAAACCAGTTAATTGGTACCCCTTAACGGTACTTGGTAATAATTGTGCTTTAATCGGAGCCCTAAAAGGTTAAAACCCTAGGTACCTTGCCTTAAACCCTAGCTACACAGCGATGGTGGTCAAGTGGTGAGTGCTTGCGCAATGGCGCATGTGAATGGGCTCACAGAGCGTTTGCTTGGATTCTAGGGTTCTTCACTGGCAGCCGTCGGCGGGCGCTCAGGTGACGAGCCAGACGCTGGTGGATTTGTTCCGGAGCATCGAGAGCATGAATGGCGTGCGCACCGGGCGGTGGCAGATCACCGCCGCGCAGCACCGGCCTTTCACTCGAGGTATGTAGGTTCGTGGGACCGTGCGCTTGAGCGAGCAAGTCGGATTGATTTGGAGCGCACTGCGCTGCGCTTGGCACAGACCAGGCCATGGCGATCGACTGCGCAAAGGAGCTCCTGGGTGTGGCGTTTAGCGAATTTGCAAGCAAGCACTACTTCGTGCTACGCGCCGAGCGAATGGTCGTGGAGGCCGACTCGAGCATCCAGGCCATCATGGAAAAGCTCCAAGTTTACAGGAACAGGCTTTCCATGGTCTTCGAGGTGGAAAGACACTATTTTTTTTCTTGGATTTCCCGTTCACGATCGTTCTTTTCGTTTCCGTGGCAGGGATTTCAATACCAGCTCGGTGATTTCCAGCTCAAAGCCGGCCGAGCAGTGCTGTCACAGGCAGAAAATCTCCGAGGCATTGTCCTCGAGGTATATTTTCTTCTCCTCTCTGGAACTCGTACAGATAGTTCTAAAGTTTGCACAGGTTGAGTACTCGCCGGTTTCGTCGATCGAGAAAACACGGCAGATGATGCAAGAGTTCGTGGATCTCTGGCAAGAGGCGATCTCAGCACAGTCCATGAGTGGACGTATCTCGCTCCTAGAACCAAATTTTGCCGAGTACGCGCTCTCAGATACTTATACTTGGCAGCACACTGCACTGCAGTACATTTTTTTGTTTGCTTACTTCCTGTCACAATCCCAAAGAGCATGATCGCAATCAACACATCTCTCTTCTAGTTCGAGGTGATTTTCTTTCCTGCTGTCCAAGTATTAACATATATCGCTCCAGAACATGTATGTTAGTTAGAGGTTAGACAAAGCAATGTAAGGGGTATCATCTGATAGACTAGCTAGACGCTACATCCACACACAAAGAGAAAGAATTTGCAACTGGTTAATGTTCTCAATGCATCCTGGAATCCTGATCATCTTAAACAGGAGGTCAAATCATTTAAGGTTAGTGTTTGCAAAATTCTTGTTTCTGCTGATTATGACATTTTTTTAATACAATTATTGAAAATTTTATTATCAATGTCACATTTAATAGATTTTCAAATGTTAAAATTTAACTTTGTGAGGGCCAAGTGTACGGCTACAATGCCGTATATTAATATTAGTGTAGTGGGATTTTGGTAGTCATCGGATTAATAACAATCCAGATTATTCACTCCCGTATATAAGTTAGGGTTTTTGGGCTAATTGATATACACTTTTTCCGTATTCTCTTTCCATATTCCAAGCACTCATAACTTATACCTAAATAGTTTTATTATAAAATAAAAAAAATTAACTATAAAATATAATTTATTAAATCATAACACATATAAAAATGTAAAAAAAAAATTTTTTTAGTTAAATAGAGAATGCTTTTTACCATATTGGCATTATAATCTCCTTTAAGAATCACTCATAGAAGCTACACACTATACAAACTCAAGCAAAAGTTGTGCTTGATATTAGGAAACTAGCATGAGATAGGTTAAATGCTAAGGGCACTCACTAAACCCTAAGTACAAATTATATATATGTATCAAAAGAATATACTGATTTTCACATATAGTGCTCTCTATTGGGAAATTCATCTCAACACTAGTATGGAGAGATAGTATAGATAGTATATGTCCAAAGGATAATAGGATGACCACAAGGAAACACTAGTGGTATAAGCATAGCCATAGTAAATTTATTTTCTAGCAATTTCAAGCACTCTAGAAAATAAATATTTAGCAAACAATTTTTAAATGGATCTAAGAATATATCATTGTGTTTTTTCTTGTGATATGTACTTTGTTTTCTATATTATAGAGCATTTTAGATAATGTGAAATT